CACCGGAGCCCGGCAGGTCGAGGCTGTGGTGGCCGGGAGTGGCCACTGCACTCCAGTCTGGGTGACAGAGTGAGACGCCAACTCAATTAAAAACAAAGACAAAAAACTGGAGGTGGCAGTGAGCCCTCCAAAGCTCTAGATGAGGGAAGGCATTGGGAGGTGGGGCTGAGGCCAGGCCGGCGAGGTGGAATGTCGAGCACACGCGTGCCAGTCAGATGGACCGGACCTGGCCCTGGCCCCATGGGGCAGCCTTCCTGCCTGCGGTGCTCATGGGGCGAGTTGTGTGCCTGGGGTTCCGGGTGAGCAAACTTGGCCCTCCTGAGGGATGCCCTGAGCCCAGTGCTTGATGTACCGGGTACTCCCTGAGGGGTAGAGAGGGCAAGACGCAGGACCGCCTCTGGCCATGGGGCCCTTTTCCACAGGATGTCACAGTCCCCCAGATTCCAACAGCTGCCGCGTGTGGTGGGCAGCCAGGGGGCATTGAGCAGCAGAGTGATTTGGACAGCGTGCTCTGAAAGGGACAGGCAGGGAGCACCAGGGGCAAGGAGGACCCTGTGGGCCCTGCCATGGAGGCGGAGGCCTCATGGGAATGGGGAGGAGGGAGGCAGGGGACAGGCTTGCCTGGCAGACAGAGCAGCACGGCCCAGGACCTGGGGGCAGGCTTGGGCGTGTGACCTTCCCTCGCTGTCCTGCAGGGGGTGCATGAGTCCAGGGGCGTGACGGAAGACTACCTGCGCCTGGAGACGCTGATCCAGAAGGTGGTGTCGCCGTACCTGGGCACCTATGGCCTCTACTCCAGCGAGGGACCCTTCACCCACTCCTGCCTCCTGGGTAGGGGTCTGCCGGCGCCTTGGCAGAGGCAGGGGTGACTGTGGGCCCATCCACCAGTGAACAGACTGGCAAATTGAGGCCCACAGCCGAGCCTGGACGCACAGGGATCTGGGGGCCAGGCAGGCAGACGCCACAGACAGGGATGTGATCACACCCCAGGAAACCCCATGACGCCCCTGCATTCCCTGGGAGAATGCTCATCGTGCCCAGTCTTGAACGCCATTTGCTCCGAGCAGGTGCCCAGAGCGAGAGATCCTGGCTCTCTTAGGAACCACGTGGGGGTAGAGGGAGGAAGCACAAGGCTGGGGGTGGGAGGTGGGCAGAGCTGAGCCCTATGGAGGGGGTGTCCCAGGGCTGCCCGGTGCATCTCTTGGAAGCCAGCCACATTAGACAGAGGGCCTGTTGGTTCACTCAGCAGCACTTCGTAAGCACCTAACTGTGTGTCAGCCCCAGAGCCAAGCCCCACCCTCAGGGGCTGCAGTCTATAGGGGAGGCAACCCATGAGTCCCCAGGGTGACCACTGAGCTAAAGACTGGGAGCATCCCAGGCTGAGGGGACAGAGGTGGTACAGAGGCTCAGGAATGTACCCATCATCCAGCTGGCACCTCTGTGCCCACCTGCTGGTATAAACCCACCCACCAATGTGTCTTAGCTCAGACAGCCCCCTTCAGGTGGAGAACTTTGAACCACTGTCCAGTCTCCCCGTGGCCCTGGATGGCAGGACGCCAGCCCCAGCGAGAAGAGACCTTCTGCCCCCCCAGCCCAGGAAAGGCCCCTGAGCCACTCTCGGTGCTCAGCCCTGCCACCCAGAGGTCACTCTTGGGACTGCAGGGTCCTGAGTGGGAGCCTGAGACCTGCCCACACTCAGCCTTGGCCATCAGCGCCGCTGCCTTCTGCCCAGATGAAGGGTCGTCTTCACCAGGTCCTCACGCCAGCCCTTGCCTTGCATGACCTATTTGCTCTCTGCCCAGTGGCCAGTGAGGCCCATTTACAGCTACTCAGCCACAGGCTCTCACCACCCTGGGGATAGAATCCCTGCCCCCCCGACCTTTCATGGAGAACTCTTCCCCATCTGCCCTCATCGTGGCACTGTGGCCTGACCTGTGGCTCACCCATGGGGGCAGGGGCTGTGTCTGCCTGGAAAAATGCTGGCATTGCCGGGCGCGGTGGCTCATGCCTGTAATCCCAGCACTTTGGGAGGTATTGGTGAGAGGATTGCCTGAGCCCATGGGTTCAACACCAGCCTGGGCAACATGGCGAGACCTCATCTCTACAATAAATAAATAAATAATTAGCCGGACTTGGTGTCACGTGCTTGTAGTTCCAGCTACTTAGAAGGCTGAGGCGGAAGGATCACCTGAGCCAACAGGTGGAGGCTGTGGTGACCATGGGCATGCCCTGGTCATGCCCTGGTCATGGTCTGTTTACTCTCTGCCCAGTGGCCAGCGAGGCCCATTTGTAGCTACCTAGCCTGGGCGACAGAGTGAGACTCTGGCTCAAAAAAGAAAGAGAGAAAATGCCGGCATCCAGCAGGTGCCATGATCTGTAGACTTCCACAGGGCATTTACACAGGTCATTGGCAGGGTGTAGGTTCTAACCCGGGCAGTTAACTTGAGGCCCTGCCCACCCAGGCTGAGACTGGGACGGAGACAAGAAATCACCGAGGGCCCAACCTAGTGTGCCAGAGCTGGGGCCGAGAGCCCACGTCCCCCTCCCGGTCCAGAGCTTGCATCCACTGGGGCTTTCCCCACCACCGCCCCTTCATGCGAGTTCCGTGCTCCAGGTAGCAGGTGCCGAGGCATGTGGGGGGCAGGGGGGAAGCGGTGAGTGGCCATCACCCGCCGGCCTGTGGTGTATGACTGTGTCTGTGTCTCCCCCTGCAGAGAAGCGTTTCCTGCGCCGCTCCCGCTCGGGAGACGTGCTGGCCAAGAATCCGGTGGTGCGCTCCAAGAGCTACAACACGCCGCTGCTGAACCCCGTGGCAGAGCATGAGGCGGAGGCCGCGGCGGCTGGCAGCACGAGCATCCGCAGGCACTCAGTGTCCGAGATGACGTCCTGCCCCGAGCCCCAGGGTTTCCCCGACGCCCCTGGCCAGGGCCCCGCGGGGGCCTTCAGGTCCTCCCCCACGCCCCACTCGGGGCCCTGCCCCAGCAGACTGTACCCCCCGACTCAGCCCCCTGAGCAGGGCCCAGACCCCGCCCACGGCTCCCCGCCCCCCTCCAGCCCCGAGAACTTGGTGGACCGGATCCTGGAATCCGTGGACTCGGATTCCGAAGGGATTTTCATTGACTTTGACCGGGGCCGCGGCTCCGGCGTGTCCGACTTTGAGGGGCCCGGGGGCCGGCAGAGCGTTGTGTGAGGCCTGGAGGCCGGCAGAGCGTTTTTACCGACCCCCGTGCGCGCGCGTGTCCGTGTGGTGTGTGCGTGCGTGCGAGACTTTTTTACTCCGTCCAGGCCAGCGCTCCTATCGACCTCGTCGCTGGCCTCCGTCACTTTGTATTCCCGATTGTGCTGGAAATACCATCTGCCTCTCCTGCTCGGCCCAGGTCTGTTTTGGGGGTGTCTGAGTTGGTGTTACCCGGGACGCACATCGGCCTTGTAGCAAGGACGGAGATCGGTCACCCAGTCCCACCCTCCATTCACACCCGCCCAGGAGGACGTGAATCGGGCGGGTCCTGCCCGTGCCGGCCCTAGCACACCCGGACCCCGCAGACCTGCCTCCCCCTCCACACTCACCTCAGGCTGCCGGGAGACCTTGGGGTGTGACAGCCCCAGAAGCCTGTCCTCTCCCTGCCTGAGGTGGCCACGGGGTCAGGAAGGGATGGAATAAAATTTGTCCACCAGGCTTGTGCCAGCCCTGCGGACATCCCTCCAGGGCTCCCCCTCAGCCCTCACCCCAGGGTCTCTCCTCCCCACTCCTGGCGTGGGCTGGCTCCCGGGTCCTGGGCCTATGTGGAGGGGCCTGTGCCTGTTGGCTTGCTGTCTGCTCCAGCTTCTCTGTCCCTTCCTGATGGAAGCCCTGGAGGTCACAGAAGGAAGGGCTGGGACACTAGGGGGAGGGGGACGCTGGCCTGGGCCTGACTTTGCCCCTGGTGGTACCTAGGATAACCACGGAAGCCTGGGAGGGGCGGGGGCGAGACTTGCTAAAGGGAGGAGCCTAGGCGGCCTGGCCTAGAAGAAAGGAGCTGATACCTGCTCTGACCACCCTGCAGCCTCACGACCCCCAGGCAGGCTTCTTCGCAGCCCTCAGGTCCCCCTCTGGGCAGGGCTGGTGAGCAAGGTCCCAGTGTTCCTGGGAGCCAGCTGAAGCCAGCCCGACACCAAGGGCACCCCAAGGTTGCGAGCAGAAGCTGAGCCCCGGAGAGAATGTTCAGCGCAGAAGCTCTGCCCCGCTCTTAAAGAGCCAGGGGTCAGGGTGGCCTTGGGAAGAGGGCATGTGAATCCCTAGTGGCTGTGGGACTTGACTGCACCGCGTCCACCTGCTGATACCCACGTCCTGCAAAGCGCTGGCCTTTCGTGGAGTTAATCTGTTTGGGGTGGGGCAGGAGTGCTCAGGGATTGGGGGAGGGTGCTGTATGCTGGGTGTCAGGGCAGGAGATGGATGTTCACCCAACGCCCAGGTCATGGGGAAGCTGGTCCATGCAGTCTGCTGGAGGAACCGCCTGAATGGAGGAGTGCCCCCTCTGGTGGGAGGGACAGACTGGGAGCCACTGCTTTGGCCTGGATGAGATTTGTGGGAAGTGAGAGTGGGGCAGAGTCAGGAGAAATGGCTGTCTGGTCTTGTTGAGCCTCAGTTTTGTCATCTGTGTTATGGGTGCATGGCTCGTGGGGCGCCAGGGAGATGCTCCATGAACAGGTGCCGTGCTCCAGGCAGGACAGGAGCAAGCCTGACCCCAGCCTTGGGGAACCAGGCATCGAGGTAAGCCTGAACCTGGTTTGAGAACCACTCAGTTCGGCTGATGGGGCTGAGAATGGCCTTGTGGAACCTGGGGTAGATCTGGGATCTGAGCAAGCTTCAGGTGGGGGCTTCAGGGGGCCGTGACCAGCAGTTTTGGAGGTCACCTCCTCAAGACAGAAGGACCAAAGGGCAGAAGACAAGGCAGGGAGTTGCTGTCCAGGCTCTTGACCCCACGGGTGTTGGACCCTGTGTTCTGCCCCCTGCTTCCCTGGTGTTGCGGGTTCCATCAGGGAGGTCTGAGCATCCCATTCCCTGGGTGCTGCTGGGCCTGAATGACCCAGAGGACTCTGGTGACACCTGCTGGCTGGTGCTTGGGCCCAGGCAAGGTGGTCCTGTCTGTTGGTGACCCCTGAGCTCTGAGAGCTCAGGGAGCCTAAGTGGGGGCCTGAGGAATTGAGGGGGCTGTACCGCCACCCCCCATAATTGGCAGCCGAGCACAGACTGTCTGTGTCAGACCAGCTTTGTTCCAAAAAGTGTCTGAGGTGATCGCCAAACATCTTGTTATAGATTGGTAAATCATCAGTGAAAACTCACAATCAGGGAAAGCATAAATTAGGATAGAAAGCCAGCTGTGACCAACCCCCAGGCCCATCGGACAGAACCTTTCATGAAGAGACATGCTCCAGTCTCGGGTGAGATGCAGACATCCCCTCCAAGAATCAGACCTTTCAGTGAGGGCCTCCAGGATACTCAGGCCATGTCCCGAGCTAGCTGTGCTGACTGCCCTGCAAACCTAAATCTGCCCCACCACCCTGCCCTTCTCCCACCCCAAACCCCAGCCTCCTGCTCTCACCCCACACCCCCCTTGCCAAGATCTGGGCTGTCATATTACACACACACACACACACACTCTCACACACTCTGCTATTATGCACTCACACACGTACACACACTGCTATGCACACCCACACGTGCACTCCTATACACACATACTGTGCTCCTGTGCACTCTCGTACTCATACATATGTACACATGCACCTATGCACACTCATACACACATGTACTCCTGTACACTCACATACATGCACATCCACCTATACATGCATGCATTCCTATCTACACACATGCACATATAAACACATATTCCTATACACTACACTCATGCATGCATGCCCATACACACATGCACACCTGTACACTTCACACACTCATCCACATACAAGTACACATTAGCCTATACATGTACACACTCATGCGCATGTAAACATACACATTCTATACACTCGCACTCAAGCATGCACACCCATATATACAGGCACTCCTGTGCACATACACACATACATTCCCTCCTATACATTCCCTCATGCATGCACACCTATACATACATTAACTCCTATGCACTCACACAAATATATGCACTCACACTCCAATGCATGCCCACCCATACCTCCCACATGCACTCCTGTACCCACATACCTACATACATATGCACACACACATTCACACATACTCCTATACACTTTCTGCATGCACACCATGGACTTCACCATGGACTCACACTTGGACTCCACTCATACATTCACATATACTTCTATACACTCACACATACATGCACACCTATACATACACTTCACTCACACACACACCCACACATATATACCCCTATACACTCACACTCATGCATGCACACTGGTACATGCACACATGCACTCCTATGCCCTCACACACACAGTCATGTGACTTGGGAGGAGCTGCCTCCCTGCCCCACCCCAGTAGGTTTATTGTATGCAGGTCATGAATCCCCCACAACCCCCATCCCCATCTTCTCAGACAGCTGCCCCCGAATGCCACCCGACCACCTCCCTCAATGCCACCTGACCACTGAGAAGCAGTTGTTCAGGGTCTCCTCCAACGTTTGCTGTAGCCCCGTGTCTCTTCAGCCCAGGCTGCCATAGGAAAACACCCCAGACTGGGTGACTTCAGCCACAGACATCTATTTCTCACAGTTCTGGAGGCTGGAAGCCCAAGAGAGCGTCCACATGGCTGGTTTCTTGCTGGGGGCCTCTTCTGGGTTGCAGACAGCTGCCTTCGTATCCCCACAGGATGAAGAGGGATAGAGGAGGAGGGAGAGAGAGAGAGGTGTCTGGTGTCTTCCTACACATCCTGTAGGAACAGACCTCACCCTTATAGCCTCATTTAACCTTAAGTACTTTCTTAAAGGGCCTATCTCTAACTACAGCCACCCTCTTGGTGAGGGCTTCGACATACCCATTTTAGAGGGACTCAACTCAGCCCATAGCCCTGGTGGGGGATGGGCCCATTTCTCAGGCAGCAAGGCTCTATCCCCACCCCAGGCCCATCCTGGAAGCCAGAGGAGAGTCGTCAGGATCAGTAGCCCAGCCTGGTCACATCAGCCTCACCCCCACTGTGGCAGGGTCTGCTGGGGATGTGGCATTTAGGGTCACAATAGGCTTCCTAGTGACCCTGAAAACACCCCTTCTGAGAGGCAACATTTATTTTGAGAGGGGTGTGTGTGTACATACCCCACAACAGCCACTGACGAGATCTCAAAGGTGGAGGCCGCTGGAGTGCTGACGGCCACTCCAGGGCATCTTCTAAAGCACCCACTCTGCTCTCCGTGGTATTAACCTCTTGAAGGACTAACTCGGGTTTTCAGGAAGGCATCATGGGGTAGTTGGACTGTGGCCCCGGAATTGCAAGGTAGGGGGAATCAAGTCATCTGGATAAGCTCACCCCTGGGGAGAGGGAGGGAGTTCCACGGGTGAAGACGCCCACTGAAGAAGCCCCTCCCAGAGAAGGAAAGACCAGAAGAAGAGCCACAAGGAAGTGTGTTGTGCCGAGGGGGTGCCCGCTAAAAGTTGGACCCGTCTGTGGTTTTCCATTTGACCATGAAAGTAATATCTGTCCTATAATTGAGATTCCTGCGTTGGCCCAGTGGCTCACACCTGTTAAGTCCAGCACTTTGGGAGGCCGAGGCAGGAGGATTGCTCGAGTCCAGGAGTTTGAGACCAGCCTGGGCAACATAATGAGACCTCATCTCTACAAGTAAATCAAGAAATTAGCCAGGCATGGTGGTGAACAACTGTGGTCCTCACGACTTCGGAGGCTGAGGCAGAAGGATGGCCTGAGTCCAGGAGGCCAAGGCTGCAGTGAACCGAGATTGTGCCACTGTGCTCCAGCCTGAGCAACAAAGTGAACCCTGACTCAAAAAAAGAAAGACTTCAGGGTATATACCCAAAAGAAGTGACAGCAGCAAATATCAAAATGCATACCCATGTCCATAGCAGCATTATTCACAATAGCCAAAAGGGAGTAGCCACCCAGGTGTCCATCGACAGATTAATGGATAAAAGCAGTGTGCTGTAGCCACACAACCGACTATTATTCAGCCTGAGAAACAAGTGGAGCTCTGACATGGGACACCACGAGGAGCCTTAAAGACATGGCGCAAAGTGAGAGAGTCAGAAATGAAAGGGCGCAGGCTATGTGATTCCATTTGCATGACGCATCCAAGTAGACAAATTCATGGGGGAGAGAAGTGGAGTGGTGGTTGCCAGGGGAAGGGGGAAGGGACATAGGGAGTCATCGAGGAATGGGGTTCGCATTTCTGTTTTAC